AAACGGTTTAAGGTGAGGAAATGGTAAATTCTAATTGCATAAATTTTATTAATATTTAGGAATATAGCACTAACAAAAAAATTCTTTATATACAGTAATTTTTGTTTCAGAAAACTAGATTGAAGCTTCGCAGTTAATAAAATCCTGAACAATTGGACCGAATCAGCGACATCAGAATTTCATTCTTCATACGATACCAAGGGACCATTTACTTTTTTGTTCTACAAGGTGACGCCAATCAGCTTCTTTGGTTTAATTATAGTTAAAGACTAATGTTCGTGCTATTTTAAATTTCCTATACTGCTTAATTCATTAGTTCGCAAATCAAAGGATTTTTAAGGTTGGCACAACTTATTTTACATATATCGTCATTTTTAATAACTGGCACAACTTATTTTACATATATAGTTGTTTTTAATAACTGGCTACATAAAACTCTGCATGTTGTTTTTTTCTTATCCGTATTAGAAATTTATTTCATTATTGAAATAGAATTTGATAAAATGCCGATATAAGTGACTATTCCCAAAAAGGAAAATTACTATACTAATATTATTCTATATTATACCTGAATTAGTCTTATATATAGTTCTTTTTTTTTATTCTTTATTTGAAATATATGTATTCAAAGTCCATTAGGTGTACGCGAATATATTTGTGCAATTAAAATTGCGATACTATTAGAGAGGCATATGAGGAATCATGAATAGGTTGTAAAAAAAGGAAACTTTAAATTGAAGTTGAGAATATAGAAATCAGAGAGTTAGAAAATATTTAAACTGTGCTTTTCAACCTCGAGAAAGCTTTAGAATTCGATTGAAGATTCAAATAAAATATTTCTTATTTATTTTTTTATAAAATTTAAAACTATTATAAATTCTATTTTATCACGCTTATTATACTAATCCTTCGATAGCCATCTTTTTTAACACAAAATTTTTATCACAAAAATAAATACAATAAACTTCTAGTATATAAATAAACATGAGTAAAAGTAGCTCGTTTACTCAAATTTCTGAAACTAAAACATGTTCTGATTGTCACGTGTTAAAGAAAAAACATGATTTCTACAGACTTCATAATAACAATCTACAATATGAGCACGCAACCTGTAATATGTGCTCAGAAAGACACAGTAAAAAAAGACAAGAAACCAATCCGGCTAAGAAAACTAAAGTAGATACATACCTTAATGTGATAGTTCTGTCTATTAGCACTTCACTTTCTAGAAATAATAATGCTTCAGATTTTCTCCAAGTTGACAATATCATTGATGATAATTTTGAGCAAACATTAGAAGCTCATCTCTTATTTGATGAAGAAGTTGAAGGCACAATAGAAATAGAAGAGTATAATATTCTAAGTAATGAAAATGACGATGATAATAATGCTAAAGCTCTTTCATACTGCATAGATGAAGTAGAAAAGTTCATTGCTCTACAGTTTCAGAATGCCAAGTCATCCGAAGAGTCCACTAAGTTTGCACTTGAAATCGAATTAGATTCAGAACTTTTAAATAGCATCGAACTTGATCAAGATATTGAAACTGATCTACTAGAGTTG